AATTACAAGAAATGCGTTTTTTATAAAGTGTTTTATTTATGAATCACACACGTTACAATTTTTGATACTCATTTTTTTTAATACAGCAATCAATTTACAACACCATTTTATATATCTTGAGGCATAGTGGTAACTCCATCCTCCAACACTTTTCTTTTCGGGTAAAAGTAGGAAAACCCATCTCGAACTTGTTTATAAGCATACATGCTATTGTTGACTACCCGAACACCTGTATTTAATCCTGCACTACTCTTTTTGGTCAACGGAACATTAAGATATTTTTCTTTGTTAATGTCGTTTGTTTTCTTGTTAACCCCTTTACAACTGAACTTATCATAGGCCTCAAAGCAATAGCAGGTCTTGCTACTGAGACCAATTATTCCTGCCCCTGACCACTCTTCCCTAAATAAACCTGGTGTTCTTTTGTCATAAGCTTTGTGTTCTGGAGTGTCGGTTCGTGGAAACCGATTGGCCTTGTCTGTTTGCAATTCCTCTCTTAACTCTGGTCGGAGTCGCTACGATCAAGATACCTATCTATGAAATCAAAATAAAACTGAAGCATTCTAAGTTTAGCGTATTGATAAACGAAAAAACCTATCTGCATGGGAAGGTTCAACTTGATTTTTTTCTTGCAAGATTGCACTTCAAAGGTATTTTCTTCAATCTGGTCAATCTGTCTAAAGAAGGGTTTGTTTATTAAGCGGGACGCTTTGGTTTCTTCACAAAACTTCCTCCTTTCCCTCAATAGGGGAACAACTTACCAATTTCATAGTGTCTGCGATGATGGCTTTGTTTGGGTCTACATCTTCAGCCCGTCTAGCGTCCGATACAGCTTCTCCAAAGGGTTGGAAACAGGGAACGGGTGTATACTCCATGTACTTGATAAATATGAGTCACTTCCAGACCATGCTCCAAGTACCACTTAATGAGTGGGAAAGCCAATAAGATCTTCTCACCAAAATAGCTACCAACGAGACTTCTTCGAGGTTGTAACATGATGTTCTCTTCCTCAGCAAAGGTCTGCATGTGCTAACCAATATCTTCTTTTGAAATTTCTATGTTTTTGAAAATGGGGCACATTTCTGCAAACTTGGGTTTTAGTGCATCAGGTACACGAACGTCACACTCGACCACTCCAAAGAGGGACTCGTTTCTAATAGCGCTTAAGATCTGGTCTTGTGTCAGAGTCTTGTGATGATCAAGAGGGCGGCTTAACTTGGAGTTAAGAAATTGCTGAACTTGTGATTTGGTGTTCTTAATTCGACGTCATTGGCACTCGTAGATTTCCACAAGATGGTACCCCTGATCCTTGATGTACTTGGAGGTTTCTTTGGTTTCTTCTCTTAACTCCGCCATCGGTCTTTTTCTCTTTTCGTTCATTTCTTTCCTTTAGTAAGATGACAGATATGTCCATGCCACCAGCAGCGATAGAACTGAGAGACTGTTTGCGAAGGACCATGAAAACCATCCACTGGTATTTTTCTTTCACCAATGCGTTTTTCTGTATTGTTCATTTGTTGGCGTATAAAAATTCCTCCTTCATGTGCCTTCCACTCTAACCACTCCGTTGCCATCCTGGAAGAACTTTCTCTCTTGAAGCCAGTTTCCTCTAGGCGTCTTGTAAATGATCCGGTGGGCATGTCTTGCATGATGGCCCATAGATATAAAGCATTGGCATCGTATCCAACAATCTTTTGACAGGTTTTTGCTTGTTTTCCTTGATCTTCCATTTCTTTTTCTCTGATTTTGGTTTTTCCCGTCTCGTGATATCGATGAAATATGTGAACCTCCACAGGATTTTAATGCTAAAGGAGAAAGCACGCGCACGACACGCTTTCACTTTAAAACAAAAGAATTTATTTTAACCCGCTTTAGCACGCTTGCAATCTTGCCTCATTAGCAATTTCTTTTGTTTCAGAGGACACGCTTGAGACAATTAAGCGTGAGCAAGTCGAACAAAAGAGCGTGTTAAAGTTTTCAAACAAAAGCTCCGTGCAAAAAAGCACAACACGCTTTCAGTGTACGCAAAAGCACGCAAGGCGTGTTATCTATAAGCTAAACAAAGTTCCTCTACAAAAAGGAACCGTAAATGATTATGAACGGCACCCTTTTTTGGTAACTATCGAGAAAGAAAAAGTTATACCTCAGTAATCGCAGCGATAGTATCTGATTGAAAAAACGTTGTCGCTTGAAAAGTATAAACAGTGAACGGTGTGACCTACTGGATTTATAGGGAGAACTATATTAGCATTGCAAAATCAAAGTTCTTTCCAGAAATGTTTACTGACGAAGCTGTGCAAAGGTTATCTTAACTTTCCTTAATTTAAAACACATTTGCAATTTTCTCAGAAACAGTGATCTTTCGGATTTAAGACACTTTCTTGCCGATCGCAGCAATCGCGATCAAATATAATAGAAATCATCAAGTGCCAGGATCGCTAAATTGTATTTATTTTTTAGCGATTGCAAGAATCGTAGTGATCAAATGAAAACCAGCCTGCTTTTCTAGATGTACCAAAATTCCAAAACGTTTCCGACAAATAATTTATGACTTTTTTCAAATGTGCAAGCGCACTCAATGATGAACCACATAAAGCAATATCAGACTCACTTACCATGCGAAGCAATGACTAATGCATCTAGTGTTTTGCCACTGTACTTAATGCTGTTAACCCATAACCCCTTAGATAAAGCAAGTAGCTAGACCAGAATTATTATGGGGAAAAAAGGGGTAAGGGATGAAGTACTCCAAATATGGACAGCAGGTCACTTTTCTCTACATATTGGTGTAACAGTCCGAAATCTACAAGGGGAGAGGTTATAATCCTCTCTAGGGAGTGATAATCCCCAAGGATAGTGAGAGGTGATAATCCTCTCTTGGGGGTGATAATCCCCCAGGATAGTGAGAAGCTAGGTGATAATCCTCTCTAGGGGTTGATAATCCCCCAAGGTTGTGAGTGGAGCTGATAATCCCCCTTGGGTACTGGAGAGGTGGAAAGACCTCTCTAGATGTCTAATTCCCCGGTTTAAGGAGTAACAAGAGTCTATGGGGCAAAGTGTGACCTGTATGGGAGCACTTCATCCCGAACCCATGTTTATTAATTGCCAAAGACTCTCAATACAGATATATATCATCACTAATTTAAGCTAGGATTGCGTGCCTGCTGCCCGTCAGGAAAAACCCTCACTTATTTTTGAGGGAAACCTGAACCCTCCCGAAAGCAGAGCCAGACACTTAACATGAACCTCGAGGGAGAGAGGTTAGACGAAAATGTATTAATAGAAGTTGTAAGTAAATGACAATTAAACTTTTATCAACTTAATAATCAAAATAAGGCACAAAGTAACTAAGTGCATAAGCATGTTACGATGCCGCGTACGATGATTCCCCTCGGTAGGAAACCACTTCTTTTCTGCCATATCTTCTTGATAATTGCCAATTGATTCAAAGTGTAAACAACAAAGATCAGTAGTTCGTATGACAGCAAAAAGTATAAGCAGCTTCTTAAATTTTTCAACAAGAGAAAAGACCTCATATATAAAACCTTAAGAAAACCAGCAGAGAGAACCAAGCAGTAATAAGGGAGGGTGGGATGGGATTTTGTTCCACGAAGAGAAGAGTATGAAGTGCTATTTTGCTGAGCTAGGCGCGAAAATATAGGCATCAACTGTACATGTGATAGCTGGCATCTAACTGGCTGAGCGAAACAATTAGTGTGACAGGGGTCACATGCAGGAAGTGACCCCTGAAAGGAAGTGAGCTGATTCCACTACTGGTAAGGGCGGGTTTATGGTTATCACATTAACTCCAATTTATCC